GGCTCCTGGGCTCAGAGCTCCCTACCTGGAAGGAGACTGCCTGGCACGACTGCTTGGCTTCGCGTACGTGGAATCGAACCTGTTAGCCCTACACTGGAGTCACGGACTGTCAAGAGGCTTTCAAAATCACCCGTCCTCATTTCAGACGAGAAGACGGGACCCAGGCTGGTCAAATGGCTAATCCAGGCTCACTCGGCACGTAGTGAGCGGCTAAGAGGAGACCCACACGTTTCTGTGGGTTCCCACCGGCCTGCTGCTCCCTCTCCCGCAGTTCTCCCTGAGATGCCTCACGGCACCGCACGGCACCGCACGGCACCGTGCAAAGGGGGTCAGAGGGACGATCTCCAGCCACTGGCAGCCGGCATGGTGTGAAAGGAACCCCCGTGTGAGCACCCGCAGAGACGCCGCGGCCAGCCCGGCACAGGAGACAGAGCAGCCCCCACATTTGGGCCACACAAAACCTTTGTGTCCCAGACGCTGGGAGGGGTGGGGACGGGGCCGCCCACCGGGGTGCAGGGGCGGGGTGGGGGTGCTTTCCCTTCCTGGCCCCTTAGTGTGTGCTACGCCTCTCGCAGGCACGGGGTCCCGGGCCTCCTCGGGGTCTCGCCTGATCATCCCACTTTACAGATCGGGAAAGAGAAGCGCAGAGCTGGGTGTTCCGAGGCCAGGACTGGAACAGAGCCTCTCCGTCCCGCGAGGCGGCATTTTCTTGCTCCGGCGCAGAGGAACAGCTGAAGAACTGTGCCCCCGGGTCCCTGCACGGCCATCAAACCTCCACTCCTGTCATGGGAATGGGGCTTCTACAGGTTTATCCCTCTGCCACCAAGGTCCCTCCTGTTTCCAAGGCTGATGCTGCCGGGAACAGGTCGGACGAGTTCAGTGCCCTCCGGTGTGTTCCGGTGTGTTCCGGGGACGCAGGCTGCTGGAGCCAGTGAGGTGAGAGAGAACACGGGGGACGAGGGAGCAAGAGGAAAACGCTCTCAGCCGACACGCTCCGTTTCTGGAGGAGCTTGGGGAAAAGCTGCTCGTTCGTCTGCTAATCCCAACGCGAACCGTGATCTAAAGAAAGAGCCCATCACCTCCCAGGCCCGGGGGCTGCCGGCCAGTGGTTGGAGCCTCGGCTGCGCGGGCGGCGAGTGAGTCACGCTGTGCAGAGGGAGCAATGGCCCTGCCTTGCTCTGGGTCACCTCGCCCGACCTTGCTCTTATGACTAAAACCTACTTACTCTTTTTTTTGAGACAGAGTCTCACTGTGTTGCCCGGGCTAGAGTGCCGTGGCGTCATCCTAGCTCACAGCAACCTCAAACTCCTGGACTCAAGTGATCCTCCTGCCTCAGCCTCCCGAGTAGCTGGGACTACAGGCATGCGCCACCACGCCCAGCTAATTTTTTTCTATACGTTTTTAGTTGTCTTATTAATTTCTTTCTATTTTTAGTAGAGACGGGGTCTCGCTCTTGCTCAGACTGGTCTCGAACTCCTGAGCTCAAGTGATCCTCCTGCCTCGGCCTCCCAGAGTGCTGGGATCACAGGCGTGAGCCACAAACCCACTTACTTTCAAAGAAATGCTGTCTGCCTATCAAGGCGCGTCTCAGACGAACATTCTCAGAGACTGGTTTTCAGCCCCAGCCAACTGGTTTTCAGCCCCAGCCAAACTCTGACCGCGGGAAGTCACGCCAAGGCAGTGATGACTTACCCAACAACAAACTGTCATTGTGGGCCTTCCGCTCCCTTTGTCCTGGCACCTGCCGAAAAGGGACAAAGACTCCCTCCTCGACCAAACCGTAGACAGGCTCCGCTGAGCCCTCTCTGCCATGAGGCCTCGCCCCGGGCCATGTCCTGGGCCTGGCCAGCTCAGGCTTCAGCAAGAATCCTGCTGAGTCGGTTCAGAGAATCCCCTACCCTTGATAGCTCATCAAGCGCCTGCCTCCCGTCCTTGCCGTCAGCAAGAATCTGCAAGGCTGGCCAAGCAAGAACCCCATCTGGATGTCTCGTCTTGGTGATTTTCCATCCACTGACCCCCTCGCTGTGCCGCGGCTACAAATCTCCAGTTGTCTTCCCTGAAGTCTCTTGCCCCTACGGCAGTAACGCTGAACAAACCCTGTCTCTACCACCCGTGATAGAACGCAGTTCTATTCTCCTTAATGGAAGGTAGCGGTGGCTCTCTCAGTGACCAAGGACAATTCACTGAGGGGCAGGGGGGGAGGGGGAGGAGACCCAGTGAAGATAAATCTAGGCAGGCCCTACCTGGGGGCCACAGGTGAGTCTGGGTGGCTCTGAGGTTCTAGACACTTGGGGTAGGCAACATCCCCGCCTCCAGGCATTTAAGGAAAACCCCTTCGCGGGCCTCATGCCGCAGTGGAGAGACAAGCAAGGCATTGGGTCAGAAAGATCTAACCCACATCCACCACTCACAAGCTGGGACTGCTTGAGCAGGTAACTCAACATCTTTGGTCTCAGTTTCTTCATCCGGGTGGTGGGGATAGAACGCCTGCCCCACAGGACTGCGGTGAGGACTGACCTAGTGTGCCAGACCTAGCGTGGTGTCTGACGCACGGAGTGTTCAACTAAGCATTTCTTTTTGCTAAAATGTCTGAGCTTGGACAGGCGCGGTGGCTCACGCCTGTAATCCCAGCACTCTGGGAGGCCGAGGCGGGCAGACTGTTTGAGCTCAGGAGTTGGAGACCAGCCTGAACAAGAGCGAGACCCCCGTCTCTACTAAAAATAGAAAGAAATTAATCGGACAGCTAAAAATATATAGAAAAAATTAGCCGGGCATGGTGGCGCATGCCTGTAGTCCCAGCTACTCAGGAGGCTGAGGCAGGAGGATCGCTTGAGCCCAGGAGTTTGAGGTTGCTGTGAGCTAGGATGACGCCACGGCACTCACTCCAGCCCGGGCAACAGAGCCAGACTCTGTCTCAAAAAAAAAAAAAAAAAAAAGTCTGAGCTTGGGGCTTTGGGTTTGGGGGTCAGAAGACGTGAGTTCCAATCCCTTCTGAAATAGCCAGGAGCTCTCTGACTCTCCTCTCTGCTGACTGAGCAAAGCGCGCAGCGTGAGGACCAGCAGTGGCTCAGGGCGTGACAACGGGCAGCGCCTCCTGTCTGCTTCAAGGGAGGCTCTGTGGCCCCCGTAAGTAGTCGCCGAGTGCGTCTTCCACGCCAGGCCCTGTGCTGAGCTCCGGACTCTCCGTCCTCCCGCCTTGGCCTCTGCGCTAGCCCTGCCGGGGGATGCCCAGGCCTTGCCTAGCCCCCTGGGGGAACTCGGAGCTGACTTAACTCCTGACATTCGTCACTGGCCCTCTGCTAAGTGAACTCCTCCCACTCCTGGCCAGACCTCTCCTCCCAGAGCGCCAGCTGCCAGAGCCGTCTCTCCTGCGACAGGTGTAACGCTTGTGCCAGGGGACAGACACCCGATCTCGGGCGCAGATAAAGCACCCCACAGGCCTCGTCCTCTGCCCTCGTGGAGCTGCGCTATCAGATTCGCATCAGCCGGGGCTTTGCCGCGTCCCTCCCTGTGGAATGTAGACTCTGCAAAGGCCTGAAGAGCATCGTCACGGCTCACGGGTGAAAACGCGGGCGCACGTATGCACATGGGATGCACGCACGTCCCTCTGTGAGTTTCTTCACAGACGCACGCATACGTCATTTCATCGCCTGCCCGCACTTCCCTGTTAGGGGTTGCCATCTCCATTTTACAGATGAAGAAACAGAAAGGTAGAGGCATCAGCCCAAGGTCACACAGCAAATAAGATGATCCATGCAAAGGATTTACTGCCTGGAACATAATAAGCACTTAACACACCGCGGCTTATCATTTTCATTATTAGTCACGGTGTTGCAGATCCGGAGATTGCGTTTATTTCTCCCGCTCCTTGGTCTGAATTGTGCCAAAGAGAAAGGAGGTCCCTGGCTGCTCAGGCGGGGCCTCCTGACCCCACTCCTGGGGGCTGAAACGCTTACCAGGCAGGAAGTTCAGACTAAATTCGCACACGGGTATAAAGGCCTAAAGCCAGCCGGGCACGGTGGCTCACGCCTGTAATCCTAGCTCTCCGGGAGGCCGAGGCGGGCGGATTGTTTGAGCTCAGGAGTTCGAAACCAGCCTGAGCAAGAGCAAGACCCCGTCTCTACTAAAAATAGAAAGAAATTAATTGGACAACTAAAAATACATAGAAAAAATTAGCCGGGCATGGTGGCGCATGCCTGTAGTCCCTGCTACTCGGGAGGCTGAGGCAGGAGGATCGCTTGAGCCCAGGAGTTTGAGGTTGCTGTGAGCAAGGATGACGCCACGGCACTCTAGCCCAGGCAACACAGTGAGACTCTGTCTCAAAAAAAAAAAAAAAGACCCTAGGCTAACCAGCCGACACCCCCACCCCCGCCAGAGCCGCGCCCACTGTAGGAAAAGCCTCCGGAACCAGCCCAACGCGGAAGCAGGTACTCAAAGCCCCACCAGTGCCCAGGAGGGCATTTGACGAGGCACATGGCGAGATGCGTTGCTTTTGCCCCTAAGTAACTGTAATACGGCGACACTAACAGCAGCTGCCCTTTACTGAGCACCTACTGTATGCAAGGCGCCATGCCGAGAGCTTCATTTCACTGTGGAAAGGGCTGGTGATACACGTGGGCGCGCACGGCACTCCACGGCGGGCAGAGACAGAGCCCCGGAATCTGCTCAAATCCTCTGCCGGTCCACGCCGCGAGTAACACCATCAGCCCCATCTTATTTCCTGCTCCCGTGGGAACGGACTGGCCACCGACTGGTGCAGTCGGGTGCAGACAGCCAGCAGGTGACGCGCGTCCACCAGAAGTGAAGGGGGCAAGAGGGCTGCCCCCCCCACGCCAAAAGGCCAGCTCCGTCCACCACGGGGGCCTGGGCACAATTCGGGAATGTGGCAGGGGCTGGAGCTGCGGTGAGGCCTGAAGGAGAAGTGCACAGAGGGACATCCTGAGGCAGAGGTGTCCCCAGCCCCAGGGCAGGGCTCCGTTGGGAAGAGAACTAGGAAGGTGGGGGGGCAGGAACGGCGGATTCCACTCGCTCCACCAGACGCAAAGGCCCTACAGGCACAGGGTGAACGGAGGCGGTTGCTAAGCAGCCCCAGCGTCTACGCAAAGAGCTGCTCACCAGAGACTAAAACTGCAATGAGAAAAGGTGATGAAATCCAGGAGCTGAGCAGACGGAGCCCTTGTCCCACTAGAGGGCAGGAGGTTGTCTAGGGAACGAAGGAGCGGCCACGACACCCACGGCGTGGTCCGTAAACACCAGGAACCAGCGCTGAGTCCGGGGACGAACAAGCAGAGACGGTGGCTCTGTCCTCGGAGAGCGCCGGAGGGCCAGTCACGCGTCCTCGACAGGACAAAGCCGCCATGGCTGGAAGCCAGTCCGGTCTAGCCCCACCAGAACCTGAAGCGGCACAGTCAGGGACGAAACGTGTCTCCAGGGAGGAGTCTCTAAGGCAAACCCTAAGCTCCAGCGGCAGAGACAGGACATGTGGCTAAACCTTTGTAGCGCAGGAGGCCCCGGGGAGCTTGATGCAACACAGACTATTATCGACGTAACTATACGGTGAGTACCAGTCACGTGTAAGGCATATAGACACACACATCTGCTCATGCATACGCCTATTGTATTTATATTAAAAGAAACAAGGATTATTTCATTTAATATGATAAACCAGCTAGGCCCGGTGGCTCGCGCCTGCAGTCCCAGCTACCCGGGAGGCTGAGGCAGGAGGATGCTTGAGCCCGGAGGTTGGAGGCTGCAGTGAGCTGGGGCCGTGCCTGTGAACAGGCGCCGCACTCCAGCCTGGTCAGTGTGGAGAGACCTTGTCTCTGGAAAGAATTTTAAAATCAAACATTAATTCATTAAACCTACAGAAAAACATAGCTTAGAGATTAAAATTCTTGCCAAAATTCACAAAGGCAGGAAAGTGACCAAGCCAGTACTTGAAGCCAGGACAAGAGCCTGTGCACTTAATTCCATTACTCCACACCGAGCGTGTCTCTGCCGCCACCGCCGTGACCACCTGGTGTCAGGTGCCCACGCAGTTACCGGCCCGTCCCGGCCCTCCCCTCCCCTCCCCATCACGCCTACGCGGCCACCCCCAGACCGTCTCCTCGCTCTCTAATCTGGCCACCAACATCTCTCCATAAAAGCCAACGAAACGCAAGGGGGAGTGTGAGACCCACGTGTGTTGTCCCACAGCCGCCAAGAGCTGGGGCGCTGGACGGAGAGCACCGGAGCGTGGCCCTGCCCTCTGCCGGCCTCCGCACTCGCCCTGAGGATGCAGCCCCAGCTGCACGTCCGCGCAGGGCTGGCCCAGGGTTGCTCAGCTGGCTTCCCCTCTCCCTGTCGCTAGCAGCACAGGGCGGACAAGTGGGACCCTAAGGCCTCCCCGGCTCCTCCCTGAGGGGCAGATGGAGGGCCCTGGGGACCCCCACACGCCCTGGCCTGCTGCTGCCGGGAGGCAGGCCCAGGGACCTCACTCGCCTGCGGCCACCCGGTTCCTGCCCAGCTGGCAGCCGAGCTGCTGAGACGTCGTGGCTGAGGCAGGCTGAGGCTCGCAGCTGGGGCACGGGCCTGGGGCTGCACCCGCTGCCCTGTGGGGTCCCCCGCAGAGGGGGGTACTTCATGAGTCCTGCCGTCCGTGAGTCCTGCTCACCCCGACATCCCTGCTCGGCCCCAGCATCCGGATCAAAGTGTAAAATGAGGGGCGGATGAGGAAGGAGATAGAGAGCAAAGGCCGGTCCTGTTTTGCTGCCGCCGCCCTGGGAACGTGAGGTCTGTCTCTACACAGCCCTGCTCAGAAAACTTCCATTCCCCAAGCCATGGATTTGATCAAGAGTCCCCAGAAGGTCTGGCCAGGATGAAGGTCACCTCGAGGATGTCATCATTATCACCACTGTCATTATCAAAAAAGAAAACAAACAGCCCACAACATCTGCGGGCCCATTTGCTAGTCAGTGCTGTGATGACGGCCGTCAGAAACAGTCCTGCGCTGGGAGAATTAAGACCCGGACGAGATGGGCCGGTTTCAGGAAGTCTAGCAGGGTCCAGGACTCCTAAGTCGGCCCCGAGCCCGCTGCAGAGGTGCTGTAAGCTGGTGGACCCAGACAAGGACCACTCGGGTGTTTTCAGGATCCCTCAGGTCAGGCCTGACTTTCCGGAACCCACGAGGTCCGTTCCTGTTTCCTTTCTGGACCAGAACAAGACTGGCTTCTGCACGTGGAAGGAAGATGCAGGGGAGTCCTTCACAGTCTTAGTGGTGCTCGGAAGTAACAGTCAGCAGGCTGGGGAGGAACCAGTAAACCGATCAACGAACTAACCAATCACCAGGCATTCACTGAGCACTGTTTGTATACCGTAGTACCGAGAACTCCGCTAACTGCCGTGCGGGTGGGTGTGCATGGTAAATGCAAGGACCCGGTGTCTGCGGACTTGCGTGTGCGCTGCGCTCGTGCCCGCGCCCAGGTGCAGGGCGCATGGGGGCTGGTTCTGTGCTACGCGACAGGCGGACGCACGCCGGACACCTGGCTAATGGGATGTCAGCCGTGTGACGCTGCTTCACGATTCTCCATTCTCCAGACTTGCAAGAACCGCAGGCAACATGTCCCGCAGACACCTTCTGGCGTCAGGGAACTGGCCTTCAGCGTCCTGAAGAATTCAGGAGAAGCAACACGGACACGGGAAAACCCTGACTCCGGAAGATGGCGACGGAGCAGTTTCAGCAAAAACACCGCCGGGAGTCACCTCGGGGTCTGGCGCCGTCGTGGGAGCCCGAAGGGCTTGAAGCCACAGCGGCCGGCAGCCTGTCAGGCGGTCAAAGACCTGCGCCAGCTTCTCCATTTCTTTTCGCGTGGAAGGAGGGAAGAGGAACTCTCGCTCCTGGCTGGACGGAGGAGACTCCATCCTGGCCTACGGGCGGAGGCGGTTCCGCAGCTGGGAGGCCTGCAGAACAGGAGGCATTGGGGACAGAGGAGCAGGACCCAGAACGAAAGAGCGGGAGGTCAGGAAAAGAGTGGGAGGGAGAAGAACAGAGTGGAAGGCGGCTTTGAAAAGGAGAAGGAGCATCGCCTCCCAGCCCAGGACGGGAGGGGAGAAGGGAGAAGTGCTTGGTGACAGCTACGCTAATTGTAAGAGCTAGGCTGGGGGGTGACTGCAGTAGGGTGCCAAAAGGAACCTGGAGGGAAACGTCGCCGTTTCCAAAGCCGTCCTCCACACGGCAACCTGCCTGACCCACTGACACGTTAACGCCCTGTGCAATTAAACGAGGACAACCACCACAGCCAGCAAATGTGCGCTGGCCCAGGCCAGCGCAAGCGCCTGACGTGCATCGTCTCATTTCATCTTCATGACAACCCTTTAGGTAGGTATTAATATTACTCCCATTTTACAGAGGAGAAAACTGAGGCCCTGAATGGTAAGGAGGTTACACATCTATCTACCCAAGACCTCACATCCTCTAGAGGATAAAGCTGAGATTTAACTCCTGCTTTCTTTTTCTTTTTTATCTCTTAACGAGTATCTTACACAGTGCCTTTTGTTTGTTGAATGAAAAATGAAAAAGCAAAGAAGTCTAAGGGAAGCAGGGAGAGGCAGGGTCCCTGAGGCCAAGAAAGTTTCCTGGGGCCACACAGGGCCTAGGCTTGGGGCCGGCAGCAGGAACCGCGGCCCGCCAGCCCTCTTCGCGGTCGCCTTTCGGAACGACACTCTCGAGCATCGAGCACCGTGCTGAGCTCCTCTTTTCTGCACCACGCTTGAAAACAAACAGGCGCGTTATCTGATCTGGACAGCTGCCGGCGGCTGGTCTGCAAGGTCTGATGGCGTGGCCGACGCCACGCTGAGGTTGTTGTAACCTGCTCTGGGGAAGGCGAGGCGATGAATGGGACAGGCAAGGCGCGCGTGGCAGTCACTGCTCTCCCAGAGAGAGACGTGGGGATCCGCCCCTCCCCGTAGAATGTTCCGGAGTCGGCCGCCCACCGTCAATCATCTCATGTTTCTGCATCAGAGCCCTTTCATACTCTGTCTCGCCTTTGTCCCGGTGCCACGGGTCGTTTCCATGCTGCAGGTGGGGGCACCGCAGCCTGCAGATAAGGTAACCGATCGTCTGATGCCAAAGGCAACGTTAGGGACCAGGCTGGAGCCTTGGCCCGTGATCCCTGGCCCCGGGCTCGGTGACCACGGCACTCGGCCGCGCTGCTGCAGCTGCGGGAGCCCTCACTGAGCCTGGTCGAGGGAGGGAGTGAAGATCAGCACCACCCGGGCAGAAACTAGGCCTGTTCGTTACTATGTCCCCGCCGTATAAATGAGCAGTTCCGAGCTTCAGAGAGGGGTTAAATTTCTTGGGTCTGGTTTTATGTTCCCACTGTGTACGTCAGTCATTGGATCCCGTGGAGCGGGTGACCTGGTGGAAGGACGGCAAGGAGGGTTTGGCGGAGGCCCGGCACGCTTATGTGCAGCTCACAGCTCTGCGCTGGCACCGAGTGAACGGCAGACACTGGCCCCGACACCCCGAGAAGCTGACGACCAGCTGCAGCTGTCTCAGCACCGGTGGACACTCACTGCGGCACAGCTGTCAAAGCCACAGCCCAAAGGGCCTCTACGCCAGTGCTTCTTTAGGGCCCTCTTTCTCTCTCTTTAATTTTTAGATCACACGCTCTCTCTGTCTCTCTGTGTATGGTAAAATATACATAACCATTTTACCTTTTTTTTTTTCTTTTTTGAGACAGGATCTCACTCTGTTGCCCAGGCTGAAGTGCTGTGGCACAATCACACCTCACTGCAGCCTCAAACTCCTGGGCTCAAGCGATCCTCCTGCCTCAGCCTCCCGATAGCTGGGACTACAGGTGTGCGCCACCACACCCGGCTAATTTCTTAAAATTTTTTGTAGAGATGGGGTGTCGTTATGTGGCCCAGACTGGTCTCCAACTCCTGGCCTCAGGCAGCTCTCCCACCTTGTCCTCCCAACGTGCTGGGATCACAGGCGTGAGCACCACGCTCAGCCCATTTTAGCCATTTTTAATGCACTAAGCACGTTCGCACTGTCTTGCAACCACCACCACCATCCATCTCCGGCACTTTCCCATCATCCCAAACTGAGCTCCTGCCCATTAAACACTAACCTCATTCTCTCCTCCCCCAGCCCCTGGCAACCACCATTCTACTTCCCGTCTCTAGGAATTCGACTATCCCAGGTACCGCACACACGTGAAATCACACGGTATTTGTCCTTCGGCTTAGTTCACTCAGCGGAACATCCTCGAGGTTCACCCTCATCACAGCAAGCGTCAGAACCTCCTTCCTCTGAGGCTGGACAGCACTCCACCGAAGGCCTTCGCCGTGTCTGCTTCTCCCCTCCTCCCTCCCGGGCAAGGGGGCTGCTCCCACCCGTGGGCTGCTGCGGGGAAGGCTGCCGTAAACACGGCTGCGCGAGTATCTCTCAGAGACCCTGCTTCCGGCCCTCGGTAGCGCGCTCTCTGTTAAGCCGCAAAACAGGAGCGGTGCTGGGGGCCGAGGGGCCAGGCCGCTCTCCTCCTGGCAGAGACGCGGCGGCAAAGCTCACGTCTGACTGAGAAAGCAGAAAGCTGCAGGAGCCTTGGGTGGAAGCAGAGTGGCAGGTGGGTAGGATCGGGTTGGAGCAATCCTAGCTCAAAAGTTAAGAGGAGAAGCAGAACTTCCGGTGGGCCCAGGGTAGGGCTTTCCCCAGGACAGCGACGTCCTGGCTACTATCCCGTGTGGAAATCAGCAGGTTCGACACATCCCGGCTTCAGAGCGAGGCTGAGTTACTTGGTCCCTTCGAGACTCCAGCTCGGTGCCGACGCAGCTTTGCAGGCGCCGGCTGCCCATCCTCGGTGCGGCAGGCACAGACACCGGAGCAGGCATCAGGGTCTTTAGGCGCAATCTGACGTGGCAGCAGCATCGGCACGTGGCAGTGGGATCGTTCCGTGGAACCCGGGACAGACCGTTCTGGAGGTGTTGAGCTCCTGCAGTGAGGCGTGCGTCACGCAGGCTGCCTGCCGGTGGCGTGTAGTATGACCACACACCAGTCAGTGACAGACTAGGAACTCAAAACAAAGATGCAAAACTGGGCCTTCGCTCTGGATAGTTTGTGCCAGTTAGCGCCCTGGCCTGCCCGCCTGCCTTCCCTCTCTTCCTTCCCAACTTAGGCCAAAGGCAATTTTCGGAAAGACCATAAAATTAAAGGGAGGACCACACAACCAGGCCTCAGAAAGGCCAAAACCCAGGGCAGTGATTGGAACCTCAGCAACCACCCAACACCTCTGTGTGTCTCTGCGCAGGATTCAAATGCTGAGCACAGTGGCACGGTCACAGCTCACTCGCAGCCTCCATCTCCTGGGCTCAAGCCATCCTCCTGCCTCAGCCTCCTAAGTAGCTGGGACTACAGATGCGTACCTGGCTAAATTTTTTTGTTTTTTTTGTAGAGACGGGGTCTTGCTATGTTGGCCAGGCTGGTCCCCAATTCCCGGCTTCAAGCCATCCTCCCTCCTTGGCCTCCCAAAGTGCTGTGATTCTAGGTATGAGCCACTGCACCTGGCCTTGTCAGAGCCTTTGAAAGTGATAAACTTCCTCAATTCATTTTAACCCTGGTTTAAAAAAAAAAAGAAAATCTAAGGATTGTTGCCATCTGGGGGAGATTAGAAATCACTACTGCAAGCCCCAATATCCTACCTATTAGAAAACTGAAGGCTCGGAGACTGAGGTCATAACACAAGTTAGATGGAGAACCAGAACTAGACACAGGTCTCAGCCTTCTGGTCCAGGAGTGTTCAGTTCAGACCACGTAGCCAGTCTGCTAACGCGGAGCTGTGAGCCCGCCGACGAATGTACAGCCGTGTCAGGAGCAGCAAGGAAGCATTCTGTAGTCTGGAATCCTAAAACCGCGCACAGCCCTCATTGTGGAAACAGAGTCCAGTGTAAGGAGGCGTCCTGGAGACCAAATGCCTCTGACAATTTGAGAGCCTACCTGTTTGGGTCCAGCCCAGTTCTAAATCCAGACTCTCTTATCACGTAAAGGAGGCTTTGGAGCTCTCCAAAAGCACAGGCTATGTCGCACTCTCCTTTGACCCTCCCCCTCCGGCCTCAGCCTTAAAGCTTTCACTTGGCATTCACGACTCAGCTAACTCTGATGCAAGAGGCCTAGCTTTCAGCCTGTCTCAGGTTTCGATATGTCCTCCTCACTAAGCTTAATCATTTCTAGCTCTTGATTTAAGGTGAGAGACATGGGCTGGGTGTGGTGGCTCACACCTGTAATCCCAGCCATTCGTAAGGCCAAGGCGGGAGGATCGTTTGAGACCAGCCTGGGCAACACTGCAAGACCCCATTTCTAACATAATAATGATAATAATAATGAAAAGGTTTGAAATATTGTGTGAATTACCAAGACATGACACAGAGACATGAAGTGAACACACGCTCTTGGAACAATGGCACTGATGGGGACTTGCTGGACACAGGATTGCCACAAACCCTCAATTTGGAAAAAACGCAGTATCTGCAAAAGCATAGTAAAACAAGGTTTGCCCGCGCTGCTTTGCCATGCTACCTCTTAACATTCCACACGAAAGGAAAAAAACAACCTTTTCTCTGGATTAACGACCACTTTTTAAAATATATGAACAAATACAAGTATACTTGAGAAGAGAGAGGACTTTAGACTCAGCAGGAAGGAAGCCAGGTAGGGTACCAACAGTCGGCTGAGTCAGTATTATTTACGTTGGTTTTCCACCTTCACAAACGAGAACCTGTTCAGCGGACTGCAGGGTAAATGCTGAAACATTTACTGGAGTGGTCACGGTTCCTTCCATGAGAGAATCTCTACTGTTCCACTCTTGCCTTCACCAATGCAACAAAACACTGACTCTCAGGACAGCCGATTAAACAAGCGAGTAATTGTTTTTACAGCCCATATGGTCAAAGCACCAGCTCTGTGTCCACAGGGGAAAGTATAATAATACAAAGGTGAGGCTCTTACTAAGTCAACTGGTTATTTGATATGTTAGTGACCATATTTTCTGAACTCAAAAATATCAGGATAAGTGGTCCGACCACGGCAAGAGAATCTCTGAAATGGTTAATCTTTCCTGGAAACCCAGGCCACGCCATCACATTGTTTGACATGAAATTACCAGTTTCGAAGATCTCTGTTGGTCTTAGCCTCATAAATTTGCAAAATTTGCTGGTCAAACGACCAGGCAGGACTAATCTGTACACCTGCATCTAACCCATTTACAGCTGGGTCGACAGGAAAGTTGGTTAAAGACGCAGAGATAGCTCAAGAGGATAAATGTTCATCCCAAGACCCTCCATCTCATGTCCTGCCCCTGCCCTCACCCCCCCCCCATTTCTTCCAGCACTTCTTTCTTTTTTTTTTGAGACAAGAGTCTCACTGTGTTGCCCGGGCTAGAGTGCCGTGGCATCATCTTAGCTCACAGCAACCTCAAACTCCTGGGCTCAAGTGATCCTCCTGCCTCAGCCTCCCATGTAGCTGGGACTACAGCCACGCGCCACCATGCCCGGCTAATTTTTTCTATATATTTTTAGTTGTCCGATTAATTTCTTTCTATTTTTAGTAGAGACGGGGTCTCGCTCTTGCTCAGGCTGGTCTCGAACTCCTGAGTTCAAACCATCCGCCCGCCTCGGCCTCCCAGAGAGCTAGGATTACAGGCGTGAGCCACCGCGCCCGGCCGAACTTCAGTTCTTAAGAACTCAAAAGAACCAGAGAAGAAATCAAGGATATCTAAGAAGATGAACGGATAAAAACTGCTCGGGAATTGGGTAGTCAACTCTGATCCTTACCAAAAAAGGAGGAGAACGTAAGAGAGAGCTGGGAGAAGCAGCTGGTGCTACAAGAAAGCTCCAAGATGAAAAGCAAGAGAGACTCATTACCATCGATCTGTGCAACTCTCATTTTACCTGCATGATACTTAAATGGTTTCTGGAACTTTCTCCTAGTTGGGGTATTTGTGAAAACAAAGGAGGCTCAGAGAACTTGGATTTTTTTTGGGGGGGGGGGCTTCTTGAACATAAACTTTTTATTTTTTCAATCCAAGATCATGGTGTGGGATTGAGCATAAACTTTGATATTTAATGACCCGTGATAGCTGTCGGTATCCTAGTAACACATAAAACCCTTGGGAAGCTATTAACTGTTCAGCCTTCCCAGGTCTTAGGGGAATATGTTTTCCATCCTTCAAAGAGCCTGTTGTAGGCCATTTGCGGAGGAAGATGCAAATACTCTCTTGAGTGGGGCTGACGCGCTGGGCTAGGTTTCCCCGGAGTTCACCGCTGTACAAAAACAGACACAGGCTTCTCACAAAGACTGCACAGTCTGATATTTATTTTGAGCTGGTTTCTTGGACAGTTTATTAGAGTTCTGACAGTTGCAAGAAATGGCTGGTAGTGAGAAGGAAGCTTAAAAAAAGAGATCTTAAAGAGGAAACCACAGTCCCCAGGCTGGATTTACTGAGCATCTAATATGTATACAGTCGGCCCTCCGCATCTACGGGTTCCTCATCTGTGGATTCAACCAACCACTGATTGAAGGGAGAAAAAATGCAAAATAACGACACAACAAATAAAAAATAATACAAATAAAAAATATACACACCGTCGTCACTATTTACATAGCATTCGTATTATATTAAGTATTATAAGTCATTTGGAGATGACCCCAACTGCACAGGGTGGTGGGCAGGTCACATGCAGAGACTGCTCCATTTCACAAAAGGGACCTGAGCGTCCGTGGATTTTTTTATCTGTGCGTGGGGCGTCCCGTAACTAACTCCCTGCTGATACCAGGGCACGACTGTACAATCACACGCATAGCAGCTCTGCCTGGCTCTGGGTGGATGACCAAGTGTGGTCTTAAGAACCAGTTTCAGGCTGGGCGCGGTGGCTCACGCCTGTAATCCTAGCTCT